ATCACGCCCACTTCAAGATGGGAGCCTTGCAGGAGAAACACCGCAAACCCGGAATCCCATCACTTCTGTGGCATCTGGCATCGGAGATCTCAATGGAGGGTTACTCCTTTGTAATTGTGTGTAGCTGTGTAACTAGGCAGGCTTGAGTTCGTTGGTAGAGGACGAAGTGCAGCATGGCTCGGCATATCATGCTTAGCAAGTGTAAACAGTACAAGGGCAGCAGCGACTGGGAGTCCTGTCCCCGACATGCCCCGGGATATTCCCTGAACTCCAGCCCCAAGTGGCCCTAAACCCTAAACCCTAAACCCTAAACCCTAAACCCTAAACCCTGAACCCAAGTTACAAAGTACCGAGCTCCGGGCTGGCTGCTGCTGGACCTGCACTTCAAAACTGCCCGATGCTGATGCGCAGCATTGAGGAGTTCGGCCCGCTCCTACACTTGCTCATGCTTGCTCCCTAGAATGTCACAGTGAGCCGGGGAAACCTTTCGAAGTTGGCACCTGCGAGGCTTCGATTCGAGACGAGAAACTCGAGTCGTCATAGGTTTCTGTTCTTAAACATCGCATTTTTCTGCGGGGCCCCCCGCGAAGCCCCTCGACCTGGATTCTTCAGAGAGGAGTTCCAGGCCCCCACCCTGCAGATGCCCCTCCTTTCTGGACGCTGTCGGAGGCTTGTGGAGTAATTAGGCCTGTTGCGCCCGTGGTTTCACCCTAAACCCTACACCCTACACCCTAAACCTTAAACCCTAAACCCTAAACCCTAAACCCTAAACCCCACCACCCTAAACCTGTCAGCCAAGTACTCAAACAAAAAGGTGCCTGGAGGAGGACGCTGCAGACACCAGGCTCATGGAGCCTTGCCCGAGGCTGGGTTCCAATGCTGCAATCTGAGCGTGAAGTAGTCTATACTCCCCTTAGAACCTTAATAAACATAGTATTTGTTAATATCCTCTTGGGTTTTATATGGACAAAAAAATTTCCCAAGGGGGATATAGAAGTGTTCACAAGGAAAAGTGAGATCAGCCAACGTGGGTTAAACTTGTTCCGAGCCCGCTGCTCTCTGTAATGGCTTCGCGGACGTCCGCTGGCAACGTGCAGCTGCCGCCTGTAATGTTGAGGTGCAAAGGGGGGGGCAGGGGGGGGGGTGGGGCCCTGGGACTCCTTTGTGGCTTTGGTTTGAGAGTTGGCCGAGGGTACTTTGGGACACCCTGAGCCGTCAACATTTTCCGACGACTCTTATTGAGACCACATTGCGGAGGCACACACGGGATTGAGTGAAACCTCCTTGAACACCTCAACATCCTAGCAGTCCTCTGCCAGCCTGGCGGTGGGCTTGAAGTTCATAAGCTCTGGATATGAGTTTTTGATAGTTCTTTTTTGTTTTTTGGAACATGGTCGAAGCTTCCTCATCTCATACGACGACGAAGAGCATGCAAGACCCCTCAACACCTGCAGCCCCCTAAACCCTAAACCCTAAACCCTAAACCCTAAACCCTAAACCCTAAACCCCAAACCCACTTCCCAAGAGGCACCGGTACTTCCGGACAGCGCCAGTGGGGGCACTGCGGGGCTCCGCCGGGGCAGCTGAGGGGAGCCTCCGAGTTCATCTCGTGAGCTTTTTTGTTTTCGTGTTGAGGCAGGCGATGACAGGTGTGGAGTTCCGAAAGTCTGTGTTAAAGGCAAAATGAGAGCCCTCTCAAACTCTTTCATCTTGTGAAACAGGGGCCGGAAAGACGCAGCGACAGCTGCCAGGCCATGATTAGCAATTTGGGGTACTTGCAGGTCAGCGTCCATATTTCGTCCAAGACCCTAAACTCTAGACGTGCCTGTTGCGCTGAAGCCGCGGCTTTTCCTCTCCATGCCTGCCGGTTCGAGATTTGGGATGATTTGGGTTCTATCTAGACTCTAGGCTTCAGTTTGCCAATTAAGGAGCTGGGGGTTTGGGCTTCCAGCTTTGACTTCACGCTCAACACATATCGTAAGCGAACGCACTGATCTTATGCAGTGCACAGAGACTCTGCAAGGATGTGCACCTCTCTAAAGGCATGCACAGTGTGGCAATCGCAGCAACTTGACGCAATCTGAAACTCATTAGAAGTGCTGAAACTCATTAGAAGTGTTTGAATCTGGTACCGTCCGCGTCCCAAACAAATCAAATGGGGGTGGCTTCAGTGGCCTTTACAAGCTGGTGCAGCAACACACGTCCAAACAAGTAAGCAACAAGAGTTGGCAAACTTTCAACCCCAAACTCTCGAGCTAAAGGTTCTCCGCTTGTCCTTCCCCGGCCTAGCCACTGGAAGAGCTTCGAGAGGAGGGGTGCGGCTGCTTGGAAATAGGGTAGCTGCGACCTTACTCAGGCGTCTGCGAAGGAAGCTAACACTGGCAATGCTTTGACATTTTTGGTCTTGGCTGGGATTGGTCTAGAAAGGCACTCGTACGGCATTGGGGATGTTAAGACTGTCTCCGCATTGCTCCGCATCTCAGGGCAAAGCCTACTTCAGAGGTGGCAGGGCATCTGTAGCAACAATCTCGCATCTGCACAAGTTCTGACTTCTTCACCACGTGAGTTTTGGACATTTCCTGCTCTGGATCAACATTCCTGTAGTGTTAGCGTTGCCATCATATCCGTGTTGGGACACCGGGGGTAAAGGTCTCAAGTGATGCCAGCCGCGACCCCCTGCAAATCCTGACTCGCCAGCCGAACTGAACTTGTCCACCTTATATACGTAGGCATGAAGCACCCGGCTCCCGGCTGTTCAAGACGCATGCAATGGACGAAGCAGAGGGAGCTGACACCTTCCCACAATGAAACTTAGGATTGCAACGATTTTCAGCGCCCACTCAGGTACGGAGACCTTGGTGGTATTTTCGTCGGTGTCAACTTTGGGCTGCGCCAACCTATCTGCACGAAGGCCCAACATATTTCGTGGAGAACTGCATGGGCCTCAAATGCCCTGAATTCTTCAGTTCCTACTCGTGCTACTCTTAGCACCCTCTTGGCTTGAGAGTGCTCAAATCCTGAGACCTCATCCTGAAGGCCGAAGCCACCGAGATGACCTATCCAATTCTAAGTTTCTGAATCAACGCAGCTCCCAAACGTTCAAAACACTTAAAACGTTGAAGTCCCAAAGCAAGCTGGCCTTCGAAGCAGGGTTTCAGCAGAAGGGCCTGCAAGGTGTCTCTCCAGCTTCTTGGGGCTCTGGCTTCAAAGATTTCAGGTTCAGGGTTGAGGCTGTAGGGACTAGCACGTTCGCATAGCGGTGGACGTGAAGATGACCGGTCTTTCCTGCAAGCAAAATTCGAAAGAGCATCAGAGTGGAGCCCTATTTAGGCACATCATCCTGTCTGTGCATGTACCATCACGTCTATTCTATTTTGCAAGCAGTTCAGCGCAAGCAGTTCAGCTGATCAGAAAAGTGAGGTTCAACATAACATCCCGGAGCCGGTTCAAGCGTCATTGGCATGAGAAGACGGGAAAGTATGTCTGTCATCAAGCGCTTGCCGTCTTTCGCTTTTCCAGCGCCGAAGAACCCATGCTCGACCTCCTGGAAAACTGGACAATCCCTAATGACGACATGCCGGGCCTAGGAAGCCTCACTCCTTCCTTCATGGCTAATGGTGCTGAAGCACTGAACTGCCACATGGAAATCCAGCCCAAACTCTTCGACGCAAATCCCGGCCTAAGCTTTGAACACCCTAACCGAAAGAGAGAGCCCAAGCCACAAGAACAAGACACTCCCACAACGAGCACTTGCTCTGATGAGGTCCCCACCAGGGGAGAGGTGCGGTAGGCGGACGCCACGACAGTGCCCGATATTTTGCTTTGCAGGACCTGGCGCGAACCAATGAGGTCAGTGGTGCAGGACTTGTGAGATCCACAGTCTTCGCTTGGCGACAGCAGGCTTTGATTGTTGGGCACTTCCCAATTCGGAGGGCAGAACTAATGTGCTACCTGGATGCTCATGCCCCGTGAAGCAAAAACCCTTGCGAAGGCCCCGAAACCCAAAACTGGGGGCCTAAAGTCTGGATTCGCAGGTGGGGCTGCCAGCCCCCCCAAGCCAATTCCAACCCTTGGTGGAGTCTTTACTTCTGAGGCGGGCAAGTCGGATCATGAAACCCATCATCGAGATTTACGTTCTTTTGGGTATTTCCTCATTGCTGGAACAAATTTTGCTTTCACTTTGACGTTGACTTTCACTTGACACAGCTTAGCATTCATTGATTGGGGTGAGACAGCGTTTGTGAGGCGGCTGGTGCAGAAATCTGAGATGCGCCGGAGGATGCACTTCTTTCAATGCGAAAACCAGGGCGAAAAAAAACTCAAGGGGCAGATGTATGCGGGAAATGCTGTTTTTTCACGCGGGCGCCATCCAAACAGATTACGTGTGAACTGCAGCACTGATTGGGTGAAACTGACCTTAGACGCAGATACTGCGAAAACACACCGGAAACCCACTGCTTCAAGTGGGGACTGGCTGGATAGATCGCGGTGGAGGGGCAGTGGTATGCAGCACTACTGCAGCGCTTTGCCCAAGATCTGGGAACTGCTTGGCCAAGTGTTTGTGTCGAGCGGGACGCCTGCTTGAGAAGGTACTTGGTACTCATTGGTGCCGGGCACGGTCAGAATCAAAGGCCCTAAGGCTTTGCGTCTCGAATTTGGGCACCCTGCGCCAGCAAATCCTGGATCCTGATGGCTAATCTCCAAGGTCCTTTTGCCGACAAACCGCTGCCTTGCGCTGTCTTCTCCGCCGGCACCAGCTGGCCGAGCAGCCTAGCAGCATCTTTCGCTCTCGCAGCACATGGGCCTTCTAGGAACGCTAGAGTGCAGCCCATGTCCGCCTTTGGACCTTGGACGTCAGGATGTCGTCACCAGCAGCGTGGCTGACAGTTTCTTAAGGTTGTAGACCCTGTGGTGGATGATTGAGGCCATCTCTGAGAAGCGGGGCTCGAAAAAGTGTCGGAAGACCAAGCCGAAGGAAGCGCCCAGGTTGCAAATCTTGCATGCCAGGATCTCCTAAAAGGTTGCATGGAACCATGAGAACCCGGACACCATGCCCAGTACAAACCTTATCAGGATTGTGCTATTTGGCAGTGCGCGGCCCTGCATTTGCTGGCGAGCGAGGAGCGGGCACATGTGGCCGAGCAAGATGTTCCCCTGAGCCAGCCCACCTCCTGGGTTTCAACTACCATGCTGGCAAACGAGTCGCTGACCAGCCCAGGCTGAAGCTTTGTGTGATTCGCATTCGGGGCCGGGTGCCAGTGGCGCCGGGAGTGTCAACAGTAACAGTGCCGGGAGCGCTGAAGTGTGTGGTGCCGGAGGCACAGCCGGTGGCTTTCACACAGTTGCTGGAGGCAACGACATAGACAGAGCCGGGAGCTCAACTGCAGTAGCCGACGGCATGCAGGAGGACCAGTCATGTTGAAGGCATGCTAGGTCTGGACTGGTCAGCAGCTTTTCGCTTAGCGTTAAGTGGCCCAGCTTCTGTAGCTGCGAAGACACTTGGAACGTGCCATGCCCGCTAAGTCAGTTGTGCACGGTGGTACAGCCTCGCAATCTTACATTTCCATTGCACGATGCAAGTCTGTGTCGCTCAGGCGTCTGCGCGCTAGGCTCATCGCTTCTTCGAGTTTATGCGCTGGCGCTAACGCGGAGGCTGCAACAGGTCTCCCGCAATCGATTGCACCATCTTGTAGCTGAGATGCTCGTCCGAAGCTCCCTCCCTTGCGAGTTGTAGCTTCAGTGCCGCTTGATGTTTTTGCGCACGGTCGCGTATTACCCACCTGTTGTGCTAATGATGCTGACAGTTCGGCATAAAGCCGACGTTACCACACGGAGTAAACATTATAACGAGTTTCCATTGCCATTCCATAGAAGTCTTATGCGGCTGCCGTGGACATTGTCTGCAACAATCGAACAACGGCGACACCCAGGCAGAACCCCTTCGCCAACATCATGTCAGGCATGCATTGCAGAAAATTCCAGCAGGCCTAAGAAGTTGCTGCTCTTTGTCGTCTCCAATGCCGCATTTGTGTCAAAGTTTTCGTGCGTTCAGACGCAAGCGTCAGCGTTGCGTGTTGACAGCTAGTTGGAGCCCTGTTGGTTTGGAGTGCAGAGAATTCACAGCACCTGCTTGTCAGCGGACCGGCCCACATCAGCCCTGGATTCCCAACAGATTAATCTCCAATGGGCTTGGGAGGGAAGAAATTCGAAACACGTGTTCTTTTCGTGCTCAAAGTACCGAGAAAACAGTAGCTCCTACGAGGGCTAACCAGAACTATCGTACTTCAAGGAACTTGTTGAACTTGGTAGCTTCCATGGCGTTCCAAACTTTGTTCGGGCGCAGTCTACTCGTAAAGCCCTGAACATCCCCAACTCCCCAAACTCCGCAAAACCCTAAACCCTAAACCCTAAACCCTAATCCCTAAGTAAGTCCCAAAGCCTGAAACCTTGCAGGCCTGCTCGAGGGCAGCAGCAGCTTTGCCGGCTCCACCGCCACCAGCTGCAGGGCATGGTTCAAGGCGGTTTGAGGAGGGGCGTAGGGTTTAGGGTTTAGGGTTTAGGGCTTAGGGCCTGTTGGCTTTTTTGTAACATTACTTAGGGTGTTTCTTCTGTGTTCTCGGTCGGTGACCGTTTTTCAATTTGGATTATGCCGGTTCTTTTTGTTGGGCCTTGGGCCCCCCATGCTTATCCAAGGGCTTTGCATTTCTATTCTAAGGTTCAGGCTAAACAGAGGTGCTCAGTTTCCATGGGAATTAGGGGGTAAATAGGGTTTAAGCTCAGCTTCAAAAGCATGTAATCAGCATGTAAGCACGATGTAAGCACGATATAAGCACCATGTACGCAGCATGTAAGCACCATGGAAGCACCATCTTGAAACCATCTTAGCACGATACAAGCACCATGTAAGTGCAATGTAAGCGCAATGCAAGCACCATGTGATAAGAACTAAAAGCGCTACGTGAGCACCGTGTGTGTACTATGTAAGCACCATGTAAGCGCCATGTAAGCACTATGTAAGCACAATGTAAGCACCAAGTGAGCAATGTGCAGGCACTTGTAAGCACCATGTAAGAACTATGTAAAGTAGCTCGCACCTGCCCCTATGTTGGGAACACCGGGTTCCGAACACCCCCGACTGATGAAGACCTCCCAACTACTGCACAGATGCGCAAACAGCTTGTCTTACATGTGAGCCTTGAATTACAGTCATCAAGCGAAGCTTTGCTTACATGGCAACGACGCCAGATTATGAGTTACCAGCAGCTAGCTTGGAAAACAGAAAGCTCAAAAGACCTAATTGCGTAGGACTTTGGTGAATGGTGGGAATGGTGGGCAGTGGCAGGACTGGTAGGTACTGGCAGGAACGGTGGGTACTGGTGGGCAAGGGGGTTGTGGTGGGAATGCTGGTGGAAATGGGTGGGGAATTGTGAAATGGTGGGGAGTTGTCGGGAATGGTGGGGAAAGGTGTGCGGGTAACCGTTGAAATTGTTCATGCTGGGGAGTGGTGCTGGGAATGGGTGGGGTGGGTGGGTAACGGGTAATGGTGGGGGATGGCAGAGAATGGCTGCACAGGCGGGATAGGTGGAATGGTGGAAATGGTGGGTAGTGGCGGCAAGCAATCGGTAACGGTGTGTAATGGTAGAAAGAAGATCCTCTGAGTTGCCTGAAGAATCTCACAGAGTCAATTCCAAAAAGCCCTTGCCAGTCCCTCGTCCCGGATAGTGACAGTAAAGAAACTCATACGCAGCCCGTCCGAGCATAGAGGATATGTAGGATATGTACGGTTTAGGGGCTGGCAAGTTCTATTGCCAGCAACTTGATGAAGATTGGGGTAGGAGTTGCAGCCGGGGCCCGGAACAGAGAGAATGAGCAGGTCTCGGCATGCAACGACTGTGAGCAGTGTGATGAGATGATTCAAGTTTCCATGCTCTTGATCAGAAGATGCATCGTGATGCTGTACCAAGCCATCAACCCTTCTCGACACAAGAGCTGCTGCTGCTGAGTGCCTGAGCCTGCACGGTTGGATCCGGTTGCCGGAGCCGCCTCGATTTGAGGGCTTTGGGGTGGTCTCAGTCAAACTTCAACTAGGTTGGAACTGCAGTTCTAGGTCTTCAAAACTACGGTCACCATACGATCATGGCGTATGACGGGCGCGCAGTAGCAGCTACTCAGTAGATCTAGCTGCATCTTTTTTGTCATGGAGGATATGTAGAGCCACGTGAACAGTACGTGGGATCGAAGCCTAACGAAACAAGAGCAGCTAGTCACTTCAAAGCCTAGCTAAGGTTCGTGGAGCCCTGAAGCATCACAACGTTGGGTCGAGTCGGCGTCGAGCAGTGCCTGCGCTCGAGGCCACGCCATCTCCACCAGTCGCAGGTAGGACCTGTTCGCAGTGACCCTTCGTTGGTGCTGACAGCTTAGACAACTTCAAGGCTGAGCGCTCACGGATCTCTAGGGCCCTTTTTGGGGAGCTCCTGTGCTCCCAGGGCCGCTGGATGCTGTTTCTACTTCTTCTACTTGCCCTGGACAAGACAAACGAAGGGCTCGAGATGGCAACCGTGAGGGGAAGCACAGGCCTGGCGCGAGGTAGTGATCCCCGAACGATGTGCTTAGGAGAAAAACCCCCCCCACCTCCCAACCTGAACCTCAAGACTCAAGGCCGCGCACAGGGTTTAGGGTTTAGGGTTTAGGGTTTAGGGTTTAGGGTTTGGGGTTCTAGGGCTTAGGGTTCCAAAATAAGCCTCAGAACCCAAAGCATCGGAAACTGCGCTTGCTCAAGGGACCTCTTCCGCCCACCGCCGCGCGCAAAGGAGATCTGCGCTGGGGGCTTTGGCAGTTTGTGAAAGTGCATGTTGTCGATTGTCAACCCTAGGCTTCAGGGCGGGCAGTGCAGACACATGTATCAGCTGTAGCTAGCCTGATGTTTATACCGTAGTTGACCACGTCGACCGAAAGCCGGACCTGTATGGACAAGGAAAAGGGTCGGGTCGGTCGAGCAGCAGGCCGCCCGCAAGCCGCATAATCATGCCCTGAAGTGAGGTGGTTTGGGGTGGGCTGCACTACCAGTGAGCGCCCCTATTTTGTACGCTTCACGCAAAAAGGTTGCCATCAAAAAAGCTGAACCCGTCTCACGGCGCCAGGAGAGCCATGAAGCAGCGCCTGCAAGAGGATTTTTTCTTGGCCCAATTAGCGATTAGGACTGCTTTTCTGATGTCTTGACGGGCTCTGCCACCTAGTGCTGTCGAGGCTTCGTCAAAATTTCGGTTGAAAGCGTGTAATTCGGTAAGATAAGCGAATGAAATATCGATGCGGTTGATTGTTGTTGAAGTCCATGGCCGATGTTAGGGGGGGGGGGGGGGGGGCAGAGGGTGGCATTAATGGAACAGGGATGTATGGAATGGTATAGGGAAAGTGATGGGAAGCCGTATTATGATACACCTTACATTCACATACACATCTGCATACATATATGTATTTTGTATCTACATATACATAAATACATCCACATATGCACACACACACATATACATACATATATACATACGTACATACATAGATACCATTGTTGTGAAGGTCCAGATCTCAAACGCTTGATTCGCTTTTCCCGCGCAAGCCAAGAAGGTCCGACAAGATACGATTTCGGGTTGAGGGGTTTGGGTCTTAGTGCTCATCGATGATAACAGCCTGCCTCTTTCTACAACCACTCACGTGTCTGCCATCGGCTTCTGTTTAAAAAGCTAAATGCTTCAGGTTATCGTGAGCAAAAGTGCCAACCTTTCAAGCTCATCACATCCCACCAGAAACGCCAAAACATCCCTCAAACCCAAGTTGTTGCTAAAGAGTTTTATGTTGCTGTACAACTTGCTGAGACCTTACAAACGCTAGCGCAAGCTTTACAGAACCTTTGGTCTCACTCAGAGGAGGATGCCGAAGAACTCATCTCCTCTGCTGCGCCACGACGGCCGGGCTTTTTTGCCTCTCAAAAGCACTGGAGTTGCTAAGCGTTTGGGTTCTCAGGATCCGAGCAAAGCCACTCAGTTCTCACAAAGCGATCACACCATTTTGCTGTGCAACTACTAGCTTCAAGCTTGAAAGAAAGCATGTCTTCGACTGACAGCCTTTGGGCCTTAACAAGTTTCAGAGGGCTATGCCGAAATCAAGAGTACAATGGAGCCGCGAGACGAACGCAGGAGGGTTTGGAGCCCGGATTCAAGCCCAAGAGCCTGGGGCCAAAACTTGAACATTGGAAGCCCATGCTTGCTTGCTCCCTTCCGACTCGTGAGATACAACGCCGTCCCTTTACTTCCAACACCCTGCCTAAGTTCAAGCCTGTCTTCAACTGCAATTCTGTTACCTCGAAAAC